AATTGTTACACTTTTTTTGCCAATAATGCACTGGAACGTACGTCGGAATGTGTTCCAGTGTATTATTTACGATGGAAAAGGTTTTTTCGTCGCATGCCAAACTGTTGCATTAAATTTTGCCAGAAATTCGACAGAAACGTTATCTTTCCGTTGCAATTATCATGTTACTGGTGGATTACGTCCGCTGGTAATGACGGGTTTTCTTGTAGTGGGTAAATAATGCCTTTCATTGCACCATTCTAGTTTAATCCACTTTTCTTTTCCTTTAGGGAAGCTTTTGGAACTATGTATGATCATTATAAGTTTATCTTTATGTCATTTTGGTTAACCAATGCTCATTTTTTTTATAAAGTCGATAATTCAAATTTTCAAGGCATATACTAACCAATTTATAATATCTTCATTGATGATATTTTGAAAATTGTGCTGAACATTTGAGGATATTATTGGAGTTGTTAATAAATAATTAATTATATGTAAAGTTTTTTAAATGTGAATTTTGACCAAGTAGTGTTGCATTTAGTGGGATAAATCTTGTTGTTGTTGTATAGTGTTATAATTTTGGGGCACATAATTAGTGTTCAAGGAATTTTGGTGTGGATCACGAAAAATGAAAATAATATTAGAATGTTTACATTAAAGAATGTTAAAGAGGTTTATTGTTTTTTAGGTTTGGCAAGATATTTAGGAGGTTTGTTAAGAGGTTCTCATAGATAGCTATGCCATTGTTTAGATTGTTGTGAAACAATGCTAAATTTAAATTGCCAAAAAAAATGGAAAAATAATTTTCAAGAATTTAAAAGGTATTTGATAACGGCACTAGTGTTAACCAACAAGAATAGAATGATTTTGGATTTACAGTGATGCATCTTTAAAATGATTGAGATTCATTTTAATGCAAAATATTAAAATAATAGTTTATTTATTAAGAGAGTAGAAATTGCATGAGAAATTATTCAACCTATGATTTAGAATTGGCAGTGCTAGTCATTGCTTTGAAATTTTGGATATACTATTTATTGGACAAAATATAAAATATTTATTGATCACAAGAGTTTAAAAAATCTAGCCACATAAAATAATTAAACTTGAGGCAAAAAAGATGACTTAAGTTATTAAATATTATAATTTGAATTTAAAATATTGTCAAGCAAATGTAGTAGTTGAAATTTTAAGTCGAAAGTTCACAAGAATTACAAGTTGGATGATTATGAAGAGCCTAAATTGATTTAAAAATTAGAAATTTTGCAATAAGAGGTTAGAAGATTTGATAGATATATTGCATTAGTTGATTGTGGAATGAACTTATAGACATAATTAAAGAAATTCAAAAAAACTAGCAATTAATATTAGAAGTTAGTTGATCAAGTATATTTATGAACATGGCAAGAGAGATTAAGTGGATTGTTTCAGTCATTACCAATTTTAGAATGGTTGTGAGAATAAAATGCAATGTATTTTATTATCAGATTTCCTAGATCTAAATAGCATCACGATTGCATTTGGGTGATAATTGATAGGTTAACTAAGTCTATTCACTTTGTGCTATCAAATAGATATTCAGTTGATAAGTTAACAAGATTATATGTGAAGGGAATTATTAGATAACGTGGCATTCCAAAAGTGATATTATAAAATAGGGATAAAAAATTTACTTATGGACTGTAGATTATCATTCATAAAAATTTAAGCATAAAATTAAATCTCAGTATAACATTTCATCTACAAATTGGTGTCCAGTTAGAAGAAATTATTCAAATGCTTCAAGATTTTTTGAGTTTATGTGTAATGTATTTTAGAGGCAATTGGGAATATCATATTTTAATTATTGAAGTTGTATATAATAGCAATTATTAATTCAATATTCAAATATTGAATTTGTATATAATAACTATGAAATGTTGTATAGTAAAAAATGCAAAATTTCATTAAACTAGTTTGAAGTAACAGAATGACAATTGATGGGTTTTGAATCAGTTGAGAAGGATATAAGGAAATTAGGCTAATCAGAGATAGACTAAAAGATACTTAGGATCATCATTCAAAATACTATGACCCTAAGCATAGAATGGTAGAAGTTGAAGTCAAAGATTTATATTTTTGAAAGTAAAAAATACACTACAGGAAAAATGGCAAATACCGGCGGTTTTAACTGGCGGTTTATAGACCGTCGGTATTACCGATGGCTCCGCCGGCGGTTAAGCCGTCGGACTATAACGACGGCCAAATCGGCGGCTTAGCTACGATACACCGCCGGTGTTACCGACGGTCTATAAACCACCGAAAAACCGCCGGATATCAACGTGAACCGGCGATTTTCCGGCGGTCTACACCGCCGGTGATAAGTGATTTTGTTCCGGCGGTCTAGACCGCCGGAAAACCGCCGCGCCGGTAAAAGTCCTAATACGAGCCCCCTCGCTCCGCTCATTTCATTTTCACTATTTCCTTCTCTCTCTCGGTCGCTCGCTCTATCGTCTCCTCCGCTCGTCCGATCAGCCCCCGACGAAGGAACTCCGACCGCCGACCCCATTCCAAAAAAGTAATTACTTGGATCTTCTGCTGATTCTAGAATCACAAGATACAACACTTCTTTCAAAAAATGATCTTAATGATTAGTTATATGGTTGCGAATATTACATGTGTTGGTTATCGTGAAACTTGTATGCGTATCCACAATTTATACTGAAATCTTAATATTTCTTTTTTAGTCCTTTTAGAGCCCATGGTTGATTCTTCCTAAAATCATCACTTTTTAAAGACACCTAGAGTTTGATTTTTTCCTTCGCTAATTGTTCCAGTAAAATTTGGGTTTTTTGTAAAAGTGATATTAATTTAACTAGTATTGATGATTTTGATCAAATTATTCATTGCAACTTCTCTATTTTTAATATTTATAATATTGGTATATAGTTTATTTAGTTGCACAAGACTTGGTAGATTGCCTCTTTGGCAATGGCTTGTTGACCTTGAGAATTCTTATAAGGAACATTGGTTTATTAGAGGTGACTTTTAAAGCATAAAAATCTATTTCGATGTATAACAGATTGTTTATGCCTCCAACATGTAGGGTACGTTTACTTCAACGTGCAAATGACTATCCAAGAAGAGAGATATTGGATGTATAATAGATTGTTGCCGGGTCGAAAAGGATTGACAGTTGAATTTATACAGGGAGTTGAAACTTTCATTCAAGTTGCATCTCAACTGCCTTCCTTTCAGCTTGATAAAATGTTTAGATGTCCGTGTTCGAAGCATAAAAATCTAGCATTCCTAAAGCCCGATGATGTGAAGCTTGATTTATATCGTAGGGGATTTCTTCCAAACTATTGGATTTGGACATCACATGGCGAGTACGAGCCACATAGAGATGCTCATGCTGGTTCATCTACAGCTTATGAAACATTTCATGAAAATCAAATGAGTAGACCCTATGAAGACCTTATTTTTGATGTAGCAGGTCATAATTTAAGGTCTAATGTGGAAGAGCCACCAAATGCAGAGACACAAAAATTCTTTGAGTTATTACATTCAGCCCAAAAGCCAATTTGGGAAGGTTGCAGTACGCATTCAGAATTATCCATTGCAGTGAGGATGTTAAGTATTAAAACTGAGTATAATATTCCTCGTGAGTGTTTTAATGACGTTATTGGTCTTATGAAGGAAACTAATCCGGCTGACAATATAATTCCCTCAGACTTGTACCGAACAAAGAAATTAGTATCCAAGCTGGGTCTCACTGCTACAAAGATTGATTGTTGTATCAATGGATGTATGTTATACTATAAGGATGATGCAGCAGAAGTTACTTGTCACATCTGCAATGCTCCTCGTTTTAAGCAGAACTCGGGAAAACAACGTCGTCCAAAGAAAGATGTGCCATATTCCCGTTTGTTTTATTTACCAATCATTCCAAGACTTCAGCGGCTCTATGCATCAATGAGTTCAGCAGGCCATATGAGATGGCATAAGGAGAAAATAGCAAAAAGTGATGTTCTTTCTCATCCATCAGATGCTGAAGCGTGGAAACATTTTGATCGAGTGCATCCTTCATTTGCTGCTGAACCCCGCAACATAAGATTGGGATTATGTACTGATGGTTTTACTCCTTATAGTCAAACAGCTACACCGTATTCTTGTTGGCCAGTTATATTAACACCATACAACCTGCCACCAGAGATGTGTATGACTACTCCGTTCATGTTCTTAACTCTGATTATACCTGGACCACATAATCCGAAGGCAAAGATTGATATCTATTTGCAGCCATTAATTGATGACCTCAAATTATTATGGGAAGAAGGAGTGCTCACATATGACATATCAATAAAACAAAATTTTCTCCTTCGAGCTGCTTTGCTGTGGACTATCGGTGATTTTCCAGCTTATGGTATGTTGTCTGGTTGGAGCACAGCAGGGAAATTAGCATGTCCTTACTGCATGGAGAACAGTAAAGCTTTCACATTAAAACATGGAGGGAAAAATACTTGGTTTGATTGTCATCGTATGTTTCTAAATGCTAATCATCAGTTTCGAAGAAATAAAGAAGCATTTGTTAAAAACAGAATTGAGCGATCACCTCCTCCACCCAGATTAAGTGGTGATGAGATACTCCAGAGACTTTCCAACATTCCAACAATTATTGATTATCCAATGCTATCAGAATCTAAATTTCCGGGTTATGGTGTTCAACATAATTGGATTAAAAAAAGTATTTTCTGGACATTACCTTATTGGAGAACTAATTTGATAAGACATAACTTGGATGTTATGCACATTGAGAAGAACTTTCTGGATAATATTTTTAATACAATTATGGATGTTAAAGGCAAGAGTAAAGATAATGTCAAAGCAAGGATGGACATTAAAGAGTTTTGTCGGCGAAAAAATTTGGAGTTAGTAACAACAACTGACGGTAAACTAATGAAGCCCAAAGCTCCTTACTCTTTCACGTTAGAGCAAAAAAGAATGATATGTCAGTGGTTTAAAGGTTTAAAAATGCCGGATGGTTATGGATCAAATATAAGCCGATGTGTTGACTTGAAATCTGCAAGGTTATTTGGACTCAAAAGTCATGATTGTCACATAATTATGGAGGTTCTTCTTCTGATCATAGTCAGTATATTACCCGATTACATATCAAATCCGTTGATTGAGCTTAGCATTTTCTTCAAAGATTTATGTTCATCTAAACTAAGTGAAAATGCTTTACGTAGGTACGAGGATAACATACCAATCATCCTATGCAAGTTAGAGAAGATATTTTTGTAGTGATATGAGAGGTATTGCTAGATTTGGTTAAAGAGATAAATAAAGTCCTAAATTTGTAAGACCATTTTGAATCATTGAACGAATTGATATCGTTGTTTACAGATTAGCACTGTTGCCTGACATGTTTGATATATTTGATATTTTTCATGCATCAATGTTGATAAAATGGGTTACATATGCACAAAAAAAAATACTACTTGATGAAATTAATGTATGTAAAGATCTAAAGTATATTGAGGAACATGAAGGAATATTGAAATTTGGTGTTAAAAAACCAAGGAGCAAGCAAGTTCCTTGTGTTAAAGTGTAGTGGGGGTATGGATCTAAATAAAAAGAGTAAGACGGTATGTCTTACTCTTTTTTTAAACATTATTGGCATATCATCAAACATGATTTATGGCAAGTCGTGGACCACTTTTTCAAGTATGGTAAGATGATAGTTGGAAAGTTACTAATATAGTTTTGATTCCCAAAACTAAAAATCTTTTATCTCCCTCAAACTATAGACCTATAAGCCTATGCAATTCAGTCTATAAAATTGTAGCTAAGATGCTTCTTAATAGAATCTTGTTGGTATTCCCTAAGATTATTTCTATAGAACAAGTGGCTTTTCTAAAAGGTAGATCCCTCTTGGATCATGTTCTTGTGGCACAAGAGATTTTCCACAAATTTAAACATTCCAAATTAGTCAAGGGATTGGTTTCTTTTAAAGTCGATATGGAGCAGGCTTATGACTCCACGGGGTGGCCGACTTTGATTAAAATCTTGGATTACTTTGAAATTCCAATTAAGTTTGCCAACTTGGTGGTGAAGTGTATCACTGGCCCAAAGTTCTCTATTCTTATTAATGGCTCATTTTCTAAGTAAGCCAAGAGTGGTTTCCATCAAGGATGCCCTCTTTCTCCCTTTTTGTTTGTGATGTGTATACAGCTTCTTTCCAATGCCTTCTTACAAAAAGGAAGGTCTATAGGGATCGTAATTCTTCAAATGGGCAAAAGATATCTCATTTATTATATGCAGATGACATCATTATTTTCTCTAATGCTCAGATAAAATCTATCAAGATTGTCAAAGAAATCCTTGGGGACTTTTGTGGTTGGACGGGTCAAAGAATAAATTTGCAAAAATCATGCATCCTTTTTGGAAATTCCGTGGGAACAAGGAGGAAGAAGAAAATATGCAAAATAATGAATTGCAAGGAAGTTAAAGAATTTAATTGCTTGGGAATCAAGGTGACTTTGAGAAGGTTGTCTAGAGCTGATTTTTAATTTATTGTTGACAAAGCTATGAGTATGCTAGGTGTGTGGGACTGTAAACTCATTTCTCTTGCGGGGAGAATAACTTTGGTCAACTCTGTTTTATTATCTTACCCATCTTACCTTTCATCTCTTTCAATTGTTCCAAAGCAAATTCTTTATGAAGTTGATAAGCTATGCAGGAAATACATTTGGAATAAAAATGATGGGTCAGGGGGTCTTCACTATGCTAGTTAGGAATTAATGTGCAAACTGAGAAGATGGGGAGGTTTAGGCATAAATTCCTGCTCTAAGAAAGCTGGGCCTTTGAGGGCCAAGTTAGCGTGGAGATATACTCAAGAAAAGGAGTCCCTTATGCACAAGGTATTGTTTCCAAAATATGGGCCAATTATGGAGGAAGATACAACTAATAGGAGGGGCTCAGTTTCATGGAAACTGACCTGTAATGGGGGTGAGTTCTTGAAACCCATTGTCAGATGGACAGTGGGCAATGGCAAAGATATCAAGGTCTTTGAAGAAATTTGGATTTTGGATAAAAGTTTGCTGCTATGGCCTACTTTTGTTAATTCAAATGATGAAGGCAATTTATCAGTTGATTGTTTTATATGTGATGGAAGCTGGAATATGACAAAGTTGAAGAGGTTCTTTGGGGAAGACTTTATCAGTTTGATCATATCTAATAATATACAGAATGATATGGATGAAGACCATTTTGAATTGATTCATAAGCTCTCGAGCAAAACTATAGCATTTCTAGCTACTGAAGCATTGGAAACTGATAAAATAGAGTTGGTTTGCTGGAAATGGTTTGGAACGGTGAAATTAAACCCAAAGGTAAAGATATTCTGGTGGAGATTGATCAATAATGCCATTCCAACTAATTATTTTCTCTATTATAGAAGATTGCTAGGATTTGATAAGTGTCCTAGAGGGTGTGAGGAGGTTGAGGACATTGACCATAATATTTATGGTTGCAGGAAAACAAACAATGTGATGGAAGTTTTAACAAATGGGGCTTTGGTATTCTAGAATTTAATTCCAAGAAAGATTGTAATGAGTGGCTGGGCAAACAAAACTCATGGATGAGGAGTTTATTTTGTAATACTATATACCATTCATGGATAGCAAGGAATATGTTTGTTCATGATGGAAAAAATTTAAGTTCGGTGATGACAGCTTCTAATGATGTTTGTAGTACAGCTATTCAAAGAAATTCTAGCTACTCATATTCAGGTATTGACGGTGCTAATCAACCTTCCAGGTTGCTGAATTCTTGGCATCCTTCTCCACCTGATTGGATCAAAGTTAACATTAATGCGGCTCTACATAGTTCCTACAAGGTTGGTATCGGAGGAGTATTTAGGGATCACTATGGGAGATTCTTATTGGCTTTTAGAAAGACTCTTATTCATTGGTATGCAGCAGCTTTAGAACTTTAAGATATTCTAGTGATCAAACTTGTGGTTAAAGAATGGATGTTAGACTACAAAGGCCTAATCATTGAAAAGGACAATTCCAACGTTATCAAATTCATCAAGGGAGTGGTGGAGAAAGGTGGTAATGATTCTATAGAACTATCTTTTATTAAAGACTTTAATTTTGTTATTTTTAGTTGTGTAGATAGCGAGAGCAATAAGTTAGCCGACCTTTGTGCTAACTTTGCTTGCTTTAGTTCTTTTAGTTGGAATGATGTTTCCTTGGGTAACATCCCTCCTTTCATTAGATTGTTAGAGGAGTCAGATGCTTGTAAAGGGTAATTCTGTTTTTTTCTTAATAAAGCTCTTTCAACTTTTTGATCAAAAAAAAAAAATAAAAATAAAATGCAACTTGGAAAAAAATAATAAGAAATGAGATAGAAATTTGTTGAATGATTATCAATGAAAAGAATTTCAAGGGTGAAGTTCTTATAAGGAGAGGAGAGTTGTGATGCATAAAATTTAAAATATACAAATTAAAAATTTCTCCAAAAAATTATACCTCATTTTTTGAACATCCTGAAAATCATCAAAAATATTTTTATAAAATTTTAAATTTTATTTCAATTATTTTGATATATGAGAGTATATATATAAATAATAAGATAGTAGTATTTATAAATTAATTTAGTTATTAAACAATTTCTCTAAATTATTTGGGAGGGAGGGAAGGAGGGAGGGAGAGAGAGAGAGAATTTATTAAACAACATTTGTAGATTATGCTGCTCGAGTGTCCAAAAATGTCTCATAGGTCGTTGGAGACATTAATTATGGCTCTATATTTATTTGAGTTTTTAACAATACATTTGAGTGGCTGAAAATAAACATATAATCAACATATTTGTTTATATCCTAAATTTTGAACATGAATCATATAATTTGTAATAAAAATAAACCTTATAATGTTAAATAGTTTTTGTTCTATTTTTATTTTTATTTAGTGTGATGAATTATTTAAACTGGAGAATTAAAAAATATCTATTGGGGGTCTTCAATGAAAATGTAAAAGTTATTTTAAGGAACAATTATCTGAAAATGGTGTTTTTATTAGAGTTATTCTTCATTCAAATCCCGAGTTGTGCATGAGGTTTCTTTTTCCAAACATTAAGACAGTGGTAGCTTAAGTTTAAGGGATTGGGCAAGATGTCCTGAAAGATGCATAGTATTCATAACAGATTTGGTCAAAGTTGATTAGGAACGCACAATAAGATTAATTTCTCAGCTTATATTTTAGATATTGAATGAGATACTAACAGTAAAATGTGCGCAGGTTAGAATGAGTGACTTTGAGGCACGTTTCTTTTCATTATTCACTGAAAGGGGATAATAGGTGCTTATGTTTTAAAAGGTTGTTAAAGGTGAATTTAACTATCATCATTAATAACAAGGAATATGTTGTTCATTGTATGGTTAGGTTCACCTTCCTATAGTTGTTCATTTCTGATTCATATACTAATTAACATTACATGAAAAATATTCTTTATTTATTTCAAAAGAACTTCTTGCACTCTATAATCTTTTTCATACTCTTAAATTTCAAAATGATTATTGGTTTATTCAAATTCTTATCTTTGTTTCTGCATTACAAAAGTGAGCACCTGCTGATATTAGGTCTTGGATTTGAGAGAAAAATCTTGGTAAATGCTTTGCATTCCAACTCAAGGATTCAAGAAATTCTCTAGAGCCTTAATGGTGACAAATGGTCTGTATTGAAAGCTATATCATGTGTCACCACTTATGGATCTAAAGACTTTATTTGATGTATGATATGGAATTGAAAATAATAAGATCTTATCTATTTACATCTCATACATATTTGGCTTAAAAATATAATCCAATAAGATAAGGATGCAGTTGCTGTTTCCTGGATTATAATGTTCCGTGTTTGGTGACTATTAAATATGGAAGCTAGCGATTGGTGCTTCTCTAATGTTAGCTTGCAGACAATTATCAGCTTGTTGGGTAAACTATAAACATTCTTTAATAGTCTTTTTTTTCTTCCTTGAAATAACAACTTACTCTCTCCCTGAAGTTCTTTTTAATTCACACTTGTGACATCTATTTTTATCTATAGATTTGCATCTAACTTGACATATTGTTGGCAGTTTTGATCGTTATTTATTGCTTTGTCATGATGGAGATGAACCTGATTTGATGCTGAAAGCAATATGTGGGGGATTGACCCTTATTTTTATCAATATGGCTAATTCTTTGAATTTATTTTGATAAAAATGAATATGAAAATGAAGTATAGGCCCACAATCTGATA